TTAGTTCTGCTAAAGATAAAGAGTTAAGAAAATCACATCAGGACAGCAGCCATGGCTCCTAGGAGTCTAGGTACGTTGAACCAGATGTCCAGACCACTGAGCCATGCCCTCCAGCTGTCCTAGGAAAACATTTTTTAGACTAAGAATGAACATCTTACTTGTCATCATTGAGCTGTATGTAGCTTCCAGCAAAGTGAAGGCTGGTACTCCTTTTAATTTGTTTTGCTATTGTTAAACTTTGTTCATTCTTGTGGTCAGTTTCTTTTGTATGTGAGAGAGAAAGGCTTAAAAAAAAAAAAGCACATATTTTCACTCTATCTCTCTTTTGGTATTTTCTTGGGGACAGTCTTAATTGAGGACAATTGGGGATTTGCCCATTGGCCAGTAGTGTCATGGGATTTGTTGTCTTGTTTTCCAATAGGAGGATAAGGCTCAGCAACTGTTTCCTTCTGAAAACTGTCAATACGTAGAAATTTCTGGTCCTAGTTTTCAGGTCTTATCTTCAATTTTGTACAAAATATTATCTTGGCCCTTTAGTGTTCCAGAACACCTCTACCTTCTGCTATTTCATCCTTTGTGTTGATTGAGACTTTACCATTATAAAGATGGAACAGCTGGAGCACAGCATTAATAAAAAGCAGGGAAAACATCTGCATCCACTTATCTTTTGGACATCTGCCTCTTCCCTTGTGTCTAATCCAGTATGCACGAGTTCTGGGTACCAGGTTAAAGAATAAAATGTACTAGGACACTGGTGTTAAGATATTTTCCTTCTTCATGTTATCAGAAAAGATGAAATCATTTGAAAAGCATTTTTTTTCCTCTTTCAACTAGCAACTGTGCAATAGAAATTAGGTTACACGCCAAACCAGTACTTTGGTAAAACTGATGCTCAACAAAATAGATGGGGTAGGTAGTCTTCTCCCCCAGACCCCCTGAGATGGCAGTCTTAACAATGGAAACATTGTTACCTTAGAAATATGCACCATTGCGTAAAAGGCTTTTTATCTTGGGACCAAAAATAAATGCTTTTGTGGTTATAAATACACTAAAAGAAACCTCAAGAAAACCTGGAGCAAATTAGTCAATTGATGTCAAAATGACAGAGGCTGGTGTATTTCTGCCTTCTTACTGTCACGGCCTGGCTGCAATCTTCTAAGTTCCTTTCTAATAACTTCCCTCCACTTAACTTACAATATTTGGTATCTTCTTATTTTTTGGATGTTAGGTATTGCTTGCTTTCATCTTTTGGCAAAGTAACTGGTTACTTGGACAGAAATGATTTTTTTTTTACCCCAAAATGACGTAAAGGGAGGGAGTAGACCATTGCCATTTAAGTCCTAGCTTCTCAGAAAGTGAAACAGAGCTTCAACATTATGAAGTTAAAATAAGTCAAAATCTCTGCTTATAAAATCTGTGCTTTGCCCCATTTTGAATCTTTTGGTTTCCCTTGTCTGATATTAGTTCACAAGAGGCACATTTGTGCTGGTGCTCAAGACCCAGGAAACCACCTTCCATTTCGAAATTGGGTGGCATTGAAATACTTTCCCTTGCCTACTCATCTGAAATGAAAGCTTTGGAAATTACGGATGGCCTGACAGTGTCCATGTGGGGCAATTAATAAATGAAGACAAATATCTCTAAGGAATGCTTTCTCAAAACAACTTGATTTAAGCCAAATTTTTTGAGAGACAGCATGGGCACTGGTGTGCCACATGAGTGTCCCATCACATTTTCCTGGTATTTTGCCCTCTCACGTGTATTCTGCTTCCCACTGTCCTTGTATTGTTTATTCTGGCCATACCAAAATGCATGACCTTTCATTCAGCCTTAGGATTTGGAGATGGCGCAAACACCAGAAATCTTAAAAGTAATCAATTTTGGGCAATGAGAAATTTCAGTAGAATCAACATGAAAATTTAATGAACAATTTTTATTGCTGAAACATGCCTTCCTAGCTTCCTTTTTTTTGCCACTTCTTTAAACATTTTGCTTTCTTAAGCTTATTTTATGGGCTTAGTATGTAATAAAAAAGGCAGAAATGAAATGATTTTGTTTGGAAAGATAAGCTGAGGGATAAATAAATGAGGTTGTCAAGTAAGGTTTTTTGTCTCCTGAGTTTGGTTTTCTCATCTTTAAAAATGAAGGTGCTTTTTAAGCTCACTTCCAGTCTAGTAGTGTAAGAATTTATTGAATTATATTATATTTTATAAAGCATGCAAGCAAATACATTCTAGAAAATATATAGAAAATAATTGTAGCTAAACTTGGTGCAGTTAAAGGGCAGAAGATGGATGATCACTGACAAATGTTTATGGGGAGTTTGGTGCTAATTGTCAGGACCACCTTCCACTTCCTAGCCTTGGGGATAATTAGGATAGTTGAACAGGAGCAACTCATTGATAGAGAGAGAGCAGGTGTGATGGGCTGAATGCTTTGCCTGCCCACCCCCGCCCTCCCACTTTGTATCTTGGTATTAGGGCTTGGGGCCTTTAAAAGAGGTAACTAGTTGTAGATGAAATCTCCAGAGCAGGGCCCTTGTTATGGGATTAGTATCCTTATAAAAAGAAGAGGAGAGACTAGTGCTCCTCTCCGTTTTCACCCACTGAGGAAGGCCTTGTGAGTACATAGTGAGAAGACAGCTATTCACAATTCAGGAAGAGGAGCCTCGGGCAAGAACTGAATCTGTCAGCTCCTGATCCTGTACTTCCGGCCTCCGGAACTATGGGAAATGAAGTCTGTGGTTTGAGCTACCCAATCTGTTTACTGTTGTTCCAATAGCAACCTAAGTTGACGCAGACATCAGGTAACAGTGTTGAAAAGGTCAAACTAACTAAACAGGGTGGGTTAGAGGCTGCAGGGGAGGACCAGATTCAGAAGACGCCGACCCACCCCTGCCCTTTCTTGCCCTTTCTTGCATCTTCAAACCTGTAGCTTGACTTTGGTGAGATTCAATCTCCTGATTTATTAAATGAAGGTAATGTGTGAGGATTTGAGATATGTGTGTAGATGGATTAAAAAACATTTTTCTTCTTTAGGCAAGAAAAGTAACAGGCTGTACCACTAATCAGCTATTGATCTTTATTTAGGAGGCAGAGTCATGCCATGAAAGAGCTAAGCTTAGACGTCAGTTCTTGGTTTGAATCCTGACTGCTTTTTTCTAGGTCTTCATGAACTTCAGCAAATAATTTTAGCTAAACTTCTCCAAGTCTCACTTTCTTCTCATGCAAATTATTTTCTTTCATATTCTCTCTCTCTCTCTCTCTCTCTCTCTCTCTCTCTCTCCCCTCTCTATCTTTCTCTCTTCTCCACCCTTATTTCCCTTTATAAATGATGAAGCATCAACATCATTTTACAGACTGAAAGGACTTTTGGATTGTCTTTAACATCACTTTCATTCAGGAGAATTCTGACATGACTCCTTGCGTTGAGCTGTGATCCCATCCCCAAAATACTCCTCCACACAGGCAGTGCTGTGGTGGTGTTGAGGAGGTGAGTCTACCATGTCTCCCAGAATGGCAGTCCCAGCTGGGGGTGATAAGGGTAGCAAATAACAAACATTCTCTGTTGTCTGCTGTGATGGAACCCAAAACAAAAATAGCAAGCAAGTTATGATTCCTGTCCTCAAGAATCTTACAGATGAATGAAGAAAATAAATGAAATAACAACTATGTGAACTGCAACCTCATAGAAGCCATAAGCAAAAAGAAGTCCCATGGAAGATTAGAAGACTAAAAGGTTGCTAACTCGGCTGGAACAGTCAGAAAAGATTTCACAGAAGGAAGAACATTTAAACTAGGCAGAAAGAGAAGAGCTAATTATATAGTCATAATGCATATTTTTTAGTATTAGTATATCCTAATAATCTAATAACTATTCTAAGTATTGCTCTAATTATTTCCAATAACTAGATGAAGTATTGCTTCTATCCCATTTTATAGATAAGGCAACAAAAGTTTGGAAACTCTTGTATTTAGGTTAGGTTATCTAAGGTCATTAGCTTAACAGCTGGTAAAGTTGGGTTGAAATTTCTGTGGTCTGGCCCAGAACTTGAACGCTTGAGCATTTGAATATACTGGCTTCTTTGGGAGGGCAAGAAGAACATTTGAAAGAAAGAGCAGTGTGCCCAAAGTCACAGCTGGGTGAAAATTCTCAGTGTACTTAGGGGATGAGTGAGTAAAAGAAAAAAAATATAAAGGGAAAAAGGGAGCGGGGAAAAGCTAGTTTGCAGACAATCGTGGCAGTTTTATATGCTTTTATAAGGGATTTTAGGTTATTTTGTAGAAAATGACTAGACTATAAATTTAAGCAAAAAATTGAAGGGAACTAAATGATTACTGGATGAAATTGGTTAGATTGGTTAGATGTGAATATTTTATTTAATATTTTGATCAATATTTTATTTTTCAATTAAGAAATTAAAATTTAATGCACAGATTAGGTGTAGTATATATGCATACTTTATGAGTAAATATACATAAATGTTTATATACACTCAATTTCTTTTACTGAGAGATATGTAGAAATTAAGTTTGGAGATAGAATTGTTAAAGGTGGAAGTGGTTCATGTTTGAGATCATTGACCCATTTTCGAATCTGATAATATCTCTGTAGATTTGTCAAAATATTGTACATTTTATGTCTATGAAATACAACATAATAAGTTAAAGAGAAAGAAATCATAAATGTTTAAAAATAGTTTATGTATAATTTCAGGACACCTAAAGTGAAAATAATGAAGATTAGATTTTTGATAAAAGAAGTTGGGGAGGAGTCAATTTAAAGTATTTATAAAGTAGTTAGAGATTTAGTGATAAGTGGGATGTTGTGGGTATTGAGTAAAAGTAGTTGTTAACTAAAGTTTCTTCTTTGAACCTATGTAGAGTTGGTTAGATAGAAAGAAGAGCATGCTTCTTGGAATATGTTGAGTTTGGGACATATATTTGGTTTATATTAGATTATTTTTAAAATATTATTTCTTACTTTAACTTTGCTTCTAGGGCACTTCAACCATATCCATGGGGAATCTCTTCCTTGTCTAACCTAATAAAAACCAATACTTAGGGACAGATGAAGAAGGAGTCCATGTAAAAGACTGACAGGTATGCTACAGAGAAGTGAAATTTATATTGGAATTTTTTTAAATTGAGGCAACATTAGCTTACATTTTCTTTGATAATTTGGAAGTATAGAATCACCTCCCTTCAGGTATCCCCACTCTATTGCACCCACAGCCAAGTCATCCATAGTCTACTAGCACATCATGAATGACAAGTCAGTGGAATCAGCCTTCTAAGGTATAAAGATCAGATAATTAAGTGTTCAGAGGACATTAAAATGAGGACATTAGAAAGAATTTTTTTTTTTCAATTTGGGATGTCGACCTCCAATGACTGAGGAATGAAAAAGTAGAGACAGAAAATGTACTTTAAAGTGACTGGTAAAGGGAAGAAAGAAATTAGATTCACACCTGGACAAAGAGGAAGAACCACGGAAGATTTCTCTGTATTAAAGAATTGAACAAATTTGCCAAGAATTCTATACGTTGAATCTCTGGTCATGATGATAACACTTTCTCTCCACTCCGATACCTTTATTTGGTTAATTTAACCACACTCATCTTTTAGGTATGAGTCTTCCTGTGGGGACTTCTCTGACATCTGGAATTAGGTTAGATATCTAGAATCTCTGTGGTGTTCTCCTGAAGATGCTCTAGTTTGTCTTTCATGGAACTCATACAGGTGCATTGTAAATTTCCAATAAGTTATAGTAAGCTATTATATTGAATTTGAGGTGTTCTTGAGACCACTAAGCAGGATTATCATAGACATTTGGGTATATAAACCTGGACTATGGAAGAGGCAGGTAGTTGGAGATAATCATCTATGATCTATGGAAAGAGGGGCAGCTGAAGCCACTGCTTCTAAACCATTGCTGAGAATTGAACTTTTCTCCTATGTGCCTTCTCATAAGAATTTTGTGACTTTAGTTCTTGCATTTAAGTCTTTGTCTATTTTCAGTTGATTTTTGTGTGTTGTGTAAATTAAGGATATGATTGCATTCTTATATATTTGGATATCCAGTTTCCCCAACACTATTTGTTGAAGATAATATGCATTTCTCTTTGTATATGCTTGGCACCCTTGTAGAATATGATTTGACAATGAGTGGGTTTATTTCTGGATTCTATTCTGTTCCATTGGCCTATGTTACTGTCTTTATGCCAACACCATACATACTATATCATCATTACAACTTTGTGATATATTTTGAAGTCAGAAAGTGTGATATCTCCAGATCTGTCCTTTTTTTCTCAAAATTGTTTGGACTATTTGGAAACTGTTGGGTATCCATATGAATTTTGGGATAGTTTTTTCTGTTCTTCAAAATTACCATTAGAGACTTTGATAGGAATTGCATTGAGTCTTTATGTTACTATAAATATAATATGGGCAATATGGACATTTTAACATTAAATCATCCAATACATGAACATGGATGTTTCCACTTATTTGTATCTTCTCTAATTTCTTGCATCAATATTTTTCATCTTTCAGGGCACAAGAATTTCATCTCCTTTGTTAAATTTTATCATAGATATTCAATTTCATTTATGTTATTTTAAAGGGTTTAAATTTTTTCCATATAGTGTATTGTTAGTGTATAGAAATGCAACTTATTTTTGTATGTTGAATTTTGTGTTCTGTGTCTTTGTTGAATTTCTCTGTATGTTCTAACAATTATTTTGGAGTCTTTAGGGTTTTCCACATGTAAGAACACATAACCTACAGACATAATTTTGCTTCTTCCTTTCCGATTTGAGTGTTTTTCATTTCTTTTTCTTGCTTAATTGCTTTTTTCTGGGTCTTCCAGTACTATGCTGAGTAGAAATAGTAAGAGTAGGTAACCTTGACTTGTTTATGAGCTTAGAGGGAAAGCTTTTAATTTTTCCCTGTTGAGTATGGTTAGCTGTGGGCTTTTCAGATATGACTTTTATTACATTGGGATAGTTTCCTTCTATTCTTAGTATTTTTGAAATTCTTATTATGAGATATTCGAGTTTTGTTAATTTTTTTCTATTAATATCATCATGTTATTGTAATACGTTGTTCAGTTAATGTTTTTCATATGTTGAGTCATTCCCACTTGAAATATCCCACTTGACTATCATGTGTGATCATTTTGATATGTTGTTGAATTCTGTTTGCTAGTATTTTATTGGGGAATTTTGCATCTATACTCATCAAGGACATTGACCTCTTATTTTCCTTTCTTGTGGTGGTTTTGACTGGCTATAGTATCAAGGTAAAGCTGACCTCATAAAATGAATTCAGAAATATTTTCTCCTATTCAAGTTTTTGGATAAGTTTGAGAAGGATTGGTATTAATTAATCATTAAATATTTAGCAGAATTCTTGAGTGAATCCATCTGATCCTGGACTTTTCTGTGTTCAGAGGATTTTATGTACTGATTCAATTACCTTGCTAGTTTTATATCTGTCATATTTTCTATTCACAGCTCAGGCTTGCTATGTTGTATGTTTCTAGAATTTTATTTATTGCGTCTAGCTTATCCAATAGTAGTTTCTTATGATCATTTTTATTTCTGTGGCAGTTGTAATGTGTCCTAGTTTGTCTGTGTTGCCATAACAAAAATACCATTACATTTGTGGCTTATGAACAATATAAGTTTGTTTCTCACCATTCTGTAGTCTGAGATGTTTAAGATCAAGGAAACAGCAGGTTTCGTCTCTGGTGATAGCCTATTTCTTGGTTCTTAGATGTTTTCTTTAAGTTGTGTCCTCACATAGTATAACGTCTGGGAACTTTCTGTGCTCTTTTATAAGTGCATTAATCCTATTCATGAGATGGACATCTCATGACGTATAAACCTCCCAAATGCCTCACTTCCAACTATCATTACATTGTGGGTTAGAATTTAATTTAAATGAATTTTGAGAGTATGCAAACATTTAATCTAAAGCATTATGTCTCCTCTTTTATTTTTCATTTGAGTAATTTTTTTCTTTGTTAGTCTACCTAAAAGTTTGTCAATTATTTATCTTTTATAAAATTCAATTTTTTCCAATGTTTTTCTATTCTCTATTTAGCTAACATCTGCTGTAATATTTACTGTTTCATTCCTCTGTTTAAAAAAAACTTGTTTTGGGCTTCCCCGGTGGCGCAGCGGTTGAGCGTGGGGTTGCGAAGCTGCCCGCAGCCTCTGCAGTGCCGGTTCGATCCCCGGCTGCTCCCCGGCCACCAGAGGAGGGTCCCACATGGCGCGCAGACCTCTCCTGCCGCCCGCTGCTCCCTCAGCAGTGTACTTCGGTCCTTCTGCCTGCTCTGCTCCCCGCTCTGGCTCTGGTGAATTCTCTCACCCTCCCGCACTTCTGACTGGACCCAGTGCTTGTATGAATAAATAAATAAATAAATAAATCTTAAAAAAAAATTTGGAAAAAAAAAGTGTATCTTTAAAAAAAAAAAAAAAGACTTGTTTTTATTCTAGATCCTCTTACCTTTTAAATGAAGGTGTTTCACACAATGATTTTCTCTTTTAACTTGCTTTTGCTGCATTGCATGAGTTTCGACATATAAACCTATTAAGCCTATTTGGTTTAAACCTGTTTGGTTTAATTCTTTGTTTAATACTATTTCATTAAACAAAGTGGGTCAAAAGTTTCATTGATGATTTTCTGCCAGGTAGATCTCTCCAATGAATATAATTGTATGATAAATCCCCTACTACTATTATGTTGTTATCACTGTCTGTTTTCAGATTAATTAATAGGAGTCATATATATATAAAAAAACTGGAAACTGTTGGGTATCCATATGAATTTTAGGATAGTTTTTTCTGTTCTTCAAAATTACCATTAGAAATTTTGATAGGAATTGCATTGAGTCTTTATGTTACTATAAATATAATATGGGCAATATGGACATTTTAACATTAATCATCCAATACATGAACATGGATGTTTCCATTTATTTCTATAATTATTTTATAATTTTTGTAATTATTATAAATATTTTATAATTATTTTACAATTAATTTATTTGTATAACCTCTCTCTCTCTCTCTCTCTCTCTCTATATATATATATATATATATATATATCTCATGTTACCTTTTTTAGCTGGAAATCTATTTATCTGATATAAGCATGGCTATGCCTGGGTTTTTTGGGGGGGATACAATTGTTTACGGGATTGTATTTCAACCATTTACTTCAAGTCTTTGTTTATCTTTGTAACACAGATGGGTGTCCTGGAGACAACAAAAAGTTGAATTTTTGTTTTCTGAACCAGTCATGCTGTACACTTTGATCGGTGAGTTCAGTGCATTTACATTTAGGATGATTATTGATAAATGTGGATTTCCTACTGCTATTTTTGTTTTATTTCATGGTCCTCTATCCTCGTTCAATTTTTTTGTAGACTCTCTTTTCTTTGATTTTCATAAAAGATCTCCTTTCTAGATTTCCTTTAGAATATCTAGTGTTTGCAAGCTCCTTCATCTCTGTCTGGTAAGGCCTTTATTTCTCCCTCATATCTCGAGAACTGCCTTTCAGGATATAGTATTCTTGGCTGGCAGCTTTTATCTTTAAGTATTTTGAATATGTCATTCCATTCTCTCCTTGCTTATAAGGTTTACTCAGAGAGGAAGTTTGACAAAAGCCTTTTGGGAGTATCTTAATAGGTTATATTTTATTTTTCCCTTCTCACCTCAATATTCTCTGTCTTTTTCTTTTTTCTTTTTTTTCTTTTTTTAATTTAATTTTTTTTAAATTTAAAATTTGTTTTTATATTCTCCATACAATTGCGACCCTCTTATTTTGACCCCAAGCCCTCCTTTCCCCGCCCCCCACCCACCATAGAGTGTGTCCGATTCATAGTTGCTTGTTAATTTTGATATTTTCTTTCTTAGAGTTATTCTTTTTCCTGGTCCCTTATTTAAGTTTTCTAGATTCCTGCTATGAGTGAGACCATCCGGTATTTTTCTTTTTCTTTCTGGCTTATTTCACTGAGCATGATCCCTTCCAGCGCCATCCATGTTGCTGCAAATTTCATGTGTTTATCTTTTTTGAATGCTGAGTAATATTCCATGGTGTATATGTACCACATCTTCTTGATCCAGTCATCTATTTTTGGGCATTTGGTTTGTTTCCAAATCTTAGCTATTGTAAATAGTGCTGCTATAAACATAGGGGTGCAGGTGCTCTTTGTAATTGATGTTTCTGTGTCCCTTGTGTAAATACCTAGGAGTGGAATTGCTGGATCATATGGAAGCTCTATGTTTAGTAGGTCAAGAAATCTCCACACAGCTCTCCATAGTGGTTGGACCAGTTTGCACTCCCACCAGCAGTGCAGGAGAGTTCCTTTTTCTCCACAACCTCGCCAACATTTGTTGTTGCTAGTTTTTTTAATATGTGCCATTCTCACTGGTGTAAGATGGTATCTCATGGTAGTTTTGATTTGCATTTCCCTGATTACAAGTGATGTTGAACATTTTTTCATATGCCTGTTAGCCATTTGCATTTCCTCTTCAGAGAAGTTTCTTTTTTAGCTCTTCTGCCCATTTTTTGACTGGATTATTTTCTTTGTTTTTGTTGAGTCTCATCAGATCTTTGTAGATTTTTGTGATCAGTCCTTCGTCATTAGTGTTGTATGCAAAAATGTTCTCCCAGTTGGTGGGGTTTCTCTTTGTTTTTGTTATAGTCTCTTTTGCTGTGCAGAAGCTCTTTAATTTGATGTAGTCCCAGCTGTTTATCTTTGCCTTCACTATCACTGCTTTGGGTGATGTGTCTGTAAAGATGTCTTTTGATGTGCATATCATGTAGTGTTTCGCCTATATTTCCTTCTATGTATTTTGTGGTTTCAGGTCTTATGTCTAGTTCTTTAATCCATTTTGAGTTGGTTTTTGTGCATGGTGTTAGGTAGTTGTCAAGCTTCATTCTTTTGCATGTAGTGACCCAGTTTTCCCAGCACCATTTATTGAACAAACTTTCTTTGCTCCAATGCATAGTCTTTGCTCCTTTGTCAAAGATTAGTTGACCATAAATCTGTGGGTTTATTTCTGGATTTTCTATTTGATTCCATTGGTCTGTGTGTCTGTTCTTGTTCCAATACCATGCAGTTTTGATGATTATGGCTTTATAGTATAGTTTGAAGTCTGGGAGTGTGATGCCTCCATTCCCTTCTTTTTTTTTTCAGGAGAGCTTTGGCTATTCAGGGTTTTTGGTGATTCCATATGAATTTCATCAATAATTGTTCTATTTCCTTGAAGAATGACATTGAAATTTTTATTGGAATAGCATTGAATCTGTATATTGCTTTTGGTAGGATGGTCATTTTAATAATGTTTATCCTTCCAATCCATGAGCAGGGGATGTCTTTCCATTTCTTTGTGTCTTCTTCTGTTTCTTTTAACAGTGTTTTATAGTTTTCTTTGTATAGGTCCTTTACCTCTTTTGTTAGATTTATTCCCAAGTATTTGATTTTTTTTCTTTTGATAATAAAAGGGATGGCTTTTTTGATTTCTTCTTCTTCAGATTTATTGTTTGTGTATAGGAAGGCTACCCACTTTTGCATGTTGATTTGTATCCTGCCACTTTACTGAACTGATTGATTAGTTGAATTAGTTTTTCTGTGGAGTTTTTGGGGTTCTTTATGTATATTATCATATCATCTGCAAATAGTGATAGTTTGACTTCTTCTTTTCCTATTTGGATTCCTTGTATGTCTTTGTCTTGTCTTATTGCTCTGGCTAGGACTTCCAGTATTATATTGAAAAGCAGTGGTGAGAATGGACATCCTTGTCTTGTTCCAGATCTTAATGGAAATGCTTTCAGCTTTTCACCATTGAGAATGATACTGGCTGTTGGCTTGTCATATATGGCCTTTATGATGTTGAGGTATGTTCCTTGTATCCCAAGACTTTCAAGGGCTTTTATCATGAATGGGTGTTGCACTTTGTCAAAAGCTTTCTCAGCATCTATTGATATTATCATATGGTTTTTATATTTCTTTTTGTTGATGTGTTGGATAACGTTGATTGATTTTTGGATGTTGAACCATCCTTGTGTCCCTGGAATGAATCCTACTTGGTCGTGGTGAATTATCAATTATCTTATGGATACATTGTTGGATTCTGATATCTAAAATTTTATTGAGGATTTTTGCATCAGTGTTCATTAGTGAGATTGGCCTGTAATTTTCTTTTTTTGTGTTGTCCTTGTTTGGTTTTGGTATTAGTGTAATGTTGGCTTTATAGAATGTGTTTGGTATTATCCCTTCCTTCTCAATTTTTTGGAAGCATTTGTGAAGGATAGGCACTAATTCATTTCAGAACATTTGGTAGTATTCATTTGTAAATACATCAGGTCCTGGGCTTTTGTTTGTGGGGAGGTTTTTGATTACCATTTCAATTTTGATGCTTGTAATTCGTCTGTTTAGGTGTTCTATTTCTTCTTTATCTAGCTTTGGGTGATTGTAGAGTTGTAGGGATTTGTCCATCTCCTCTAGATTGTTGAACTTGTTTCCATATAACTGTTTATAGTAGTTTCTCATTATTATTTTGATTTCTGCTGTGTCTGTTGTGATTTCTCCTCTTTCATTTATGATCCTATTTATTTGTGCTTTCTCTCTTTTTTCCTTTGTGAGCCTGGCTAGGGGTTTGTCTATTTTATTTATTTTTTTGAAGAACCAGCTCTTGGTTTCATTGATCTTTTAGATTTTTTTTTTTAGTTTCAATTTCATTTATTTCTGCTTTGTTTTTATTATTTCTTTTCTTCTACTGGTTTTGGGTTTTTTTGTTGTTCTTTTTCTAGATCTTTGAGCTTCGAGATTAGGTTGTTTCTTTGAGTTCTTTCTTGTTTCTTGATGTGAGCCTCTATTGCTATATATTTTCCTCTTATTACTACTTTTGCTGCATCCCATACATTTAGGAAATTGGTATCCTCCTTGTCATTAAATTCAAAGAATTTTTTAATTTCTTCTTTGATCTCCTCATTAGTCCAGGGCCTTCCAGTAGTGTGGGTTTCAATCTCCATGAGGTAGGAGATTTTCTTGCCTTCTTTTTATGGTTTATTTCTAGTTTGATGCCTTCATGGTCAGAAAAGATGGTTGATATGATTTCAATCTTGGTGTATCTGTTGATGTTTGTCTTAGGTCCCAGTATGTGATCGATCCTGGAGAATGATCCGTGTGCTTGAGAAAAATGTGTACTTAGATTTTTTTGGGTTTAGTGTTCTATAGATGTCTGTTAAGCCCAAACGCTCTAGGTCGTTATTTAGAGCTTTAGTGTCTTTACTTATTTTTTGTCTTGTTGATCTATCCATTGTTGATAGTGGTGTGTTGAAGTCTCCCACTATGTATGTGTTTTCTCTGATGTCTGTTTTCAAAGATGATAATAGTTGTCTGATATATTTTAGTGCTCCTTCATTTGGTGAGTATATGTTAATGAGTGTTATTTCTTCTTGAAGTATTGTCCCCTTGATCATAATGTAGTGACCGTTGGGGTCTCTTTTTACCTTTTTGAGTTTGAAATCTGTTTTATCTGATATAAGTATAGTTATTCCTGCTTTTTTTTTTTTTTTGGTCCATTTGCTTGTAGGATTGTTTTCCATCCTTTAACTTTGAGTCTATTTTTATCTTTTGTAGCTAAATGTGTTTCCTGGAGACAGCAAAAGGTTGGGTTTTGTTTCTTAATCCAGCCTGCAACTCTGTGTCTTTTTATTGAAGAATTTAGTCCATTTATATTTACAGTTAATATTGATATGTTAGCATCTGTATTTGCCATTGTGTTTGTCTTTCCTTTGATTTTATTTATTCTTTTAATAACTTTTTTTTTTTTTTGGCCTTCTTCCGTTGTTATTCGTCCCTCTGAGGTTCTGGCTTTAGGACACCTTATAGTATTTTTTGGAGTGGGGGTTTAGTCGTAATGAAATTCCAGAGTTTCTGTTTGTCTGGGAAGGTCCTTATTCTTTCTTCATAGAGGAAGGAGAGCTTTGCGGGATAGAGTATTCTTGGTTGGCATCTGTTTTCTTGAAGTCTGTTGACTATGTCCCTCCACTCTCTCCTTGCCCGTAGTGTTTCTTCGGAGAAGTCTGATGTCATTCTGATTGGTTTTCCTTTGAATGTTATCTGTTTCTTCCCTCTTGTCAGCTTCATTATTTTTTCTTTGTCCTGGATTCTTGGGAGCTTTACTATTATGTGTCTTGCTGTATTTTTCTTTCGTCATGAAAGTTTGGTGTTCTTCTTGCTTCTTGTATATCAATTTTCAGCTCCTTCTTCATGTTTGGGAAGTTCTCTTCAGTTATTTCCTTGAA